TCTGTTATATTCGCCTTTATTTGATTGGAAACTGCTTAGCAGTCTGGTAAAGTCCCCCGTACAGTGTTGTAAAGCGCCATGAATTTAAGATATGAGCACTATATAAATAAAAGCTAATATTATATTATTTTTATTATTAATGATTTAGTTTTAGTATATAAATGTGTAAATGGTTTAGCTCCAGATTATTTAGGTAAATATTTTGTTAAATGCTTAGCAGTTCACAACAGGAACACAAGGGGATGTAACAATTTTGTGACCCCCCCAATGTAGATTTGTCAATGGGAGAAAGGGCATTTTACTTTCAGGGTCCATGGGAATGGAATGGGCTACCTGACAATATTAAAAACACTAAAGAAATTGATATCTGTAAGCGAACACTTTTTAATAATATGTTCTATACGAAGTAATTTTGGATATATTTTGAATGTATTTTGTAAATAAGTTTTCTTTTCTTGTAACTTTGTCACTGAAAAGCCCTGTTGAAGGGAGTCTCAATAAAGTATGTATGTATGTATGTATGTATGTATGTATGTATGTATGTATGTATGTATGTAATGTAATGTAGATAATGGCGAGATAAAGGACAGTTGAGTGTGCATGATGCTAGGTTGGGTAGGTAGTGGCTGAGAAACTGTGTCATGTGAAGAAAGATTTGTAAGTTGGCAAGACCCATGGAGAGGTTCATGCTGCTGATAGCTTCAACCTTCTGTAGTTCTGGTCTGAGGCCACTTGGGCTGATGATTCAACAAGGCATTTTGTGTTGTAGGATATTGCACCATTCGATTGTTCAATAAGGAGGTGGACATTAGGGCCTCTGAGAAAGTGCAAAACCGGAGAAAAAACCTCCAAAACCGAAAAACTGAAAAACCGACGAAAAAAAGGCAGCAAAACTGAAAACCACATGCAAACCTGACAAAACTGCTACATTGTCACCTTTAAAGGGGTCAAAAAGGAAAAACCGAAAACTGCATCAGTTTTCGTGAAAACCGAAAACTGAATGCAAAAACACATAAAATGCGCAAACTGCTCTGAACATCAAAACTGAAAAAGCGGACCTTTTTGGCCCAAAAACTGGAAAACCTATCCAAAAAACTAACAAAACTGCAAAACTGAAAGTCCCAAAGGCCCCCTCCTTTTAAGGACACTGTCAAACTCAACGTAATATTGTATTTCGCACCTTGCTCTCTTCAAAAAATTTAGTGGCTCTTTTAAGCATTTGTAGGTGACCGAAATGGTAAAATACTCTCTTTTCAAATGATAAATTTTTCATGAAAGTTTCCATGATGTGCAGAGCAAAACTATTAGGGTTTTTCAATTAGATGCCTCGGAGATGCCACTGTGAAATTATTTTCAATTGTTTATCACCTTTTGTGGTGTCATGGCAAGAACAACAAAAATTGTATCTTTGGATCTACTGGGCATAATTGGTTGATACAAAATTAATGATTAAATGCTCTCTCTTCAAAGGAAAATTTTGCCTTTAAGTTTTCATGATGCACTGATCACACCTTTTAAGACACTATAGCAAGGTAAAGCTTTGTTTAATTACATGCCATATCCTGAAATTAGTGTGAGATGCTTATCATCTCCTGTGGTATTCCACAACAGAGTTAATAGAATTCAGAACCAAAATATAGCTTAATTAATTAGATTTCAGATTAAGACATGTCAAATATTCCTTGTGAAGACAAAAAGACAAATAAAAGGTTTTTTCATTGTGGGAACTTTAATTTGATAATTTGTTAATTGTATAATTTATTTTATTTGTTTTATTTGTGTTTGGAGATTAATTGTAATGTCAGGTAAAAAAAGGTAGTTTTGTAACCATACTTTCTCATTGGTGTTTTGGGTGAGTCTTGTTGATTGTTAATGTTAGTTTGTAGAAGTTGTGGTATATATATGGCTGTTAATGGTTGTAAAATTGTCAAAACTGCAAGCAATGTGTATCTTTGAATTTTAAAGTTAAGTTTTTTCAGAGTGGATTACTTAATTGCTATTCATGCTGGTGACCTATTGAAAAGTATGCAACTGTGTAAAATTAAAATGATGATGTACCTTAAGTGATGATGTCTTAATTGCTGATCATTCTCTCCGGCAAAGTGCACAGACACAAGGCAGAGATTATTGCCTTGTTCATTGAAAAGCATCATTAATTATTGTACTTTTAAGTACAATAATTAATGATGCTTTTATGTTACAAACTTAAAAGTTTGTAACATAAATTCTCATCTAGTGTTAAAGTCTACAAACTTTTGCTTGGAATGGAGCGCTAATAATTTATAATGTTTATGTTCTTGTGGCTGCAGAAAGCAAATTCTAGTGATTAGAAGGGTTCTGTGACCATAAAATGGTTATCTGAGCATTTATATTAGAATGAGAGGGATAGAAAGTTTGATTTTGGAGCAGTCCAGTGGTGATATATTCTCAAAAGTGTGTCGCTTGTTTACCCCTTCAGCCATTAATAAAATGCAATTGAGTCTAATTCAGCCACAACACTAATAATACACACCACTCCCTGTGAAGCATGTTTATTGTAATGCTGGGAGTGTATTCCATTCCCTAAAAGCCAATCAAGGATGTTATATCACTAACTACTTTCCATATTCCCATAAATTACACCTACATTCAAGTGTTCAAACATTCATGCCATTTAAACAAATGACTGTAAAGTTTCATCCCAAGACTGATCATTGTGTGGGTTTTGATTTAATCCTTAGGTGTTTGAACACTTCACTGGGAATGGTGTGTCTAAGCAATGAGAAACCAGTTCTTTATTTTGAGGTAAGAGTGTAAAGAAGAGTGCCCCCACAATAAAAAAAATTGTGTTTCTTCTTTGGTGACATCCAGGGGGGAGGGAGGACTTTCTGATAAAAATTATAACTTTTGACATAAATCCATGATCTACATACAGATTGGTAAATCTTAAGTAAAGTTAAGTATTTCTTAACCAATTCATTGATTTGAGTATTAGCATCACAAAATTAAATAAATGTTACTCTTTGATTTACAAATTAAACTCCTCAACCTAAATAAGTGAATGAATATTAGTTGCAAAGTTGGATGAATGTGTGATCTTAAAATAACATTGAGGTTAAACAATATGTCATTGGTTAAAAACTTACAGAAACTTCACTCAGATTATGGTGTAGATCTTAGGAACCAGTTATGAAAACATTTAAGGGGCCGGTTACAAATACTTACATATACTCACTAGATAGATTTTGTGTCTGTGCTATTTTCATGCACACACAATGATCCAAGTAGTGTCCTCTGAGTAAGAAAAATGATAATTAAATTACAAATCAAAACCATTTTTGCCTAACTCTCTTCAGAGGGGTAAGAAGTTTTTTGATCCCGGTGGCTGCATAGCTGAAAATTGTTGTCCTACAAGATTACAAACATCTTTGAAATACAGTGAACACAGGGTGAGTGACGGATAACGTTATTTTAGTGCATGTATCTCTATCAAATTTATCTCAGAGTATATGGAGTGACAAAATGTTATCTTCTTAAGAGCACTAAACATTCAGTCATAACTGACTGAACGGTCTGATAATTTTTTCTTTTGGGAAATTTGCTGATTTGGCAAGTCAGCTCTGAGACAATAACAATTGCTTCTTTCAGTTTGGTACCAGACCAGTCTGGACAGACAGTTGTGACTAAAGACAGCGACACACCTGGCAATTGATTTGTAGATTGTGGCAAATTTGATCACTGTGATTGGCATATAAAATCGGTGATATCTGGCATGTCGGATATTGGCAGTTTTATACACCAATTGTAGCAATTGGCAAAAATTGCAATTGAAAATATTGTGTCTTCTGTTTGTATGTGTTTTCTGCAGTATCACTTTGTAAGTGTAAGTACCCATAAATATAAATATTGCAATGCAATCTAGGCTGTATGTAGTGAAACTTCTGTGTAAGTATCCTTAATAATTATAGTTAATGTAAGTATTGTAAGTAGTGTTCTTTGGTTAAAATGAAAATGAAAAAAAAAATTAAAATTGTGGCAGTGGGCACATCTGGATTGTTGCTGGCTTTATGGTAAACAACCTAAGACTCACTCCAAAATTATTTTATTGCAATTGTTTCAAGTCATTTTAGTTGAATCAGTGTTGGCTTAATTATCTTTGCAAACTTAAATTAGCATGTCTAACTTTTATATAGCAATTATTCACTTAGTTATCGTAAATCAAAATGTCAAGTACAGAGCAAACCATAATATCAAACTTGCAGAGCAAACCATAATATCACAGAAGTTATTTATGGGTGTTTAGATATGCTCAGATCCTGAGTATTAATCATTTTGAAGCTTCCACA